CCGTCCGGCTCCGGAGCGTCTGGGTTGTACTTTGCTTTGCTATGTATTGTATCTTCAGATTGGTCAACAATCCATCAGCCGACCGCTGGTCCTCAGTGTTGTTTATTGTGCTTCTTCTGCGATGTCCCGACACATTTCACCGTCACACCATGCCTGGCCGGTCGCGTGCGCGGTTCTTTTTTCCGCGGTTTCTGTCCGACGATGTCAACGAGTCGTCAGGATGACCCAAAGACTTGGCCACCCAAGTTCTGGAAGGTCGCTGGGGCCACAAGATGTCGATATGGTTTGATCCGTGTGTGGGGTGAAACACGTCGACCCGCGTGGATGCGTGCTTTGTTTGGCGGTGCTGCTTTTTGAAACGACATGTTTTATAGTCACTGTGGACTCTCCAAGTACTGTTGAAGTAAGGATTGGCAAGGTCCAGAAGGGTTTAAGGACAAGGATGTTTAAGGATCAGGGCGAAGATTCAACGTGCTTCAACGGGCAACCGCACATGGATTGTAGCGGTGAAACATGCGGAAACGATCGAAGGGGACCTGTCCAAGCCCTTCAGTATAGTTGCTCCCGATGTTCATGGTCTTTTAGGCCGTACCTGTCATTCACCTGGTCAGCCTCCTGACCCAAGACAAAGGATACTCTCCCTGGAACTAACATGGAAGTGGAAAACCACCTGTTTGTAAAGGAAAGTCGTCTTCCAAGGAGCCATTCTCCACTTCCATGTTAGTTGCAGGGAGTGTAGTTGTAGCCGGACAAATCTACTGACCCAACATGACCGCTGTCGCCGAAAACCGGTTTTCTGGGGCCCTGACCTGACATCGAAGGTGTTAACACTTGGACGTTCCGGCCACCACTGGTATTTTATTGGGCCTGACTCGGCCTAACCTGTGTCACCAGAAACCTCCAAGAGGGCTTGTAGAGCTGCGAGTTGGACATGTTTGATACTAAATGAGAGGGTGTTTCATCCCGTATTCATCCCTGTTCCCCTCGGTTTACTGGGCACGAACTCCTTAAGATTGCTTCGCGACAAGCAACCAACACAACTCAGCAGAGTAACCCTTTTACAACTGTAAACATACTAAACCAGATCCTTCCGGACCATGTCATGCTCCACACCACTATACTCTCTTCATCCGCTTTGTATATCTTCCACGGACTGGACGCGGATCGTGGCACTGGCAAACACCCTGCCCAGATGCTCCGTTCACAGCCCGACTGATCCCTCAAAACCTAGGGATTGGTTCGACCCTAGACCCTTCCGTATGAGACGCCAGACCCCTCCATATGAGGGCCCAGGCTCGCGTCTGAGTGGTTCATTGATCCAGAGTGGATGAACAGACTAGAGCAGATTGGGGAGGTCAACGTCAACCTACCAGTTGTGTTTCTATCCGTGAAACGACTTGGACGGTCAGACCTTTCAACATCTCATGGGCGCTGGAGTCTCAACGTATCCTTAATTCGATATGCCTCATGCCTGCTGGGCCTGCTGGGCCTTGCGTCTAGTTGCTGGTTTCGCTGTCGAAACTCCCTACATCTCTCAGCCGTTGTCACTGTCTGATCTGTATAAAGAATTATTCAGTGTTTCCTTGTTTTTGAACGTTTCAACATGGCTTCTAAACCTCACACACCATGATGAACCTCCCTACCCCTATGGCACCAGTGAGGAAAACCCTGGAAAACGCACGGCTTCCAGGTGGAGTTCCAGATGTCCGACGGCACCTGCTTCGCCATGAGCGACCCCCGGCGATTCGGGCGGATCGGCTTGAGCACGTCGGTGTGGGAGGAGCCGTGCATGGCGAAGATGGGCCCGGGGCCATAGAGATCTGCGTCCTCAGGTCACGTCTTCTGAGGGATCTGTTTTCGCGGCGAAGCTCATGGTTCTGGTACGAAAACGGACCCACATCCCAGAACTGGCACCTACATATAACAGTGGGTATTTGGACCCGACTTCCGTAGAAGATGGGACATGTCCGCATAGATTTCGATTAGAGCAATCATTGGACCCGACTGACTGCCCAGTCCTTAGAAGAACATGGGAGCAACAAAAACAGGTAGATCATGAGATTAGATCAATTTGGTATATACCTTGTTTACCGAGGTACGAACTGATACTCCAGGTCAATTTGGTAAGATCAGTGGGAAGGTGGCAAAGGTAGTGAGAGGTGCCAGGAAGGATTGGGCACCCAGACAGTCGTGAAGGGGCCTTCTATTCGGCACCCCTGGACTGTTGAGCACTTTTGTCGGTCAATTGATGTTCACATCTTACGTCAGTGACCTTCTCAGATCAATTAAATCATATTAATACTGAGTTTGCAGTTGTGAAGGGACTAGTCGACAGCTTGCTGCTTTGGCCTCACATGGTCACCAGCTTGTCTTTTCATTAGATGCATGAATCGTTCAAATCACCCAGATTGAGCTGCTCAACTGTTCTCCGTTTCTTTTTGGGCCCAGGTTTTGACCCCTTACTTCAGATGCCCGGTTCTTAGAGTGACGCCGCTTTGACTCACCACGATGGGCAGCGCTTGGGGGCCCGGACGCGACACCCGGGAGCTTGGAGGTGCTCGGACCACTGGCGTCCAAGTGGCGCAGACTAGCGCCTGGGAGGAGCCTTTTTGATACGGGTTTGGCTTGTTGGGAGCTCCTGGCCCTACCTCCTGAGGTTCGGTGGGTGGGGTAGGTGCCAGCGGGGGAGGCTAAGCAGCTTCGGAGATGGGACAGGAGCCCTATAGCTGGTCGACTTGACGAGAGGAAGAAACGCCACCAGCAACTGGGTTCGGATGGTTTGGGCGGGGATGGAACGTACAGAAAGTAGACCTTGAACCTCAGAAGTACCTCGGAACATTGGTATACTACAACCCTGGAAGTCAAAGACCATGTTTAAAATGGTTGACCTGGTTTTGTAGAGTAAAACCCTTATAGTAAAACAATGGTGGTTCGGTAAAGGCTATTAAAACAATGGTGGTTCGACTTCTAGGGTAATAATAAAATATTTAGTATGTTTGGTTTCCAATGTGCCAAGGTACTAAGGTAAGGGTCCAGGTACATCTTTGAGGGGGGATCTATAGACCACCCGAGCCTGAGTGGTGCTGGAATGTGAGAGTCGCCAACGTTTCACTGGGGGACGTCTCGCCTGAAAAGATTGACAAATTGATACATTGGAAATGCTGCTGCTTCAGAAGCGTGGCATGATGCCAGACACGCCATGTATATCTATAATATATTGACCTGCCGATCTTCCAACTGTGACCCATTTCTGCCTTTTTCATCAAACCCAGCTCAATAGTGCAGAACTGCTGGAAGATCCAGGTACCTGGTGATCTGTCGCCCAGTCGCCGTCCCGCAACGGAGCTGGAGCACCTGCTCGGCTGCTCGACCGCCCTCGGTCAGGCCCCGCGTGGAGGACTTCGCGCGGCAGCTGGCGCGCCGGAGCGGCGACATCAAGGTCGGAATCGGAGCGGAGCGCGGCCACCGAGCCGATCCTCCAAGGGTAGACCGAAGGAATGAGAAGGTATGACTGGACCCTGGCCCACCTCAGCCTGTACTTGGCTTAGGAGATCAGGTGGAATGGATGGAGATTCTGGACCCGACTGAGCTCAGTCGCGCGAGTCAGTAGTAGGGCACAAAACCGCCTTCTTCGAATTCCGGGCTGGCGGGGCCGGGCGTGGACTGGAAGACCAGATCTTGGGACGCCACCAATTGAAACCACTGCAGGGATCACCATGGATGGTTTGGTGTCTCCTAAGGGTGGGAAGTGACCAAAGCAACACCCGACTTCGGTTCGTTCGGCACCCCCCCCAAGAGGGTATACCCATGTTCTGAGGTACTTGAAGTCGGGTCCTGATATGAACTCTGCTGGAACCGCATGGACTCTGGTGGTTTTGCTTACGCCATTCGTCGATCTGGTCAGTGGGTGGAAGATGGAACGTCGACATCCCATGCTTCGAAGATGGTCGAATCCGAACCGTTTTGAGACGACACAATTATGTGCGTTATCGATTTTTGGACTGCGCGACGTTTTGGCGAAGACGTATATTCTTAGGAGTACGCATGATAGGTGGACGGCAACAAAATCACATTCACCAAGATGCTCTTGAGCCCTACCCAACAAGTGCTTTGGTGCCAAATCGGCGAAAAGGTGCGTCAATTGATGAGCGCTTGTCACACCGCTGGCCGGGTGTGGGGCTGCACCCCCAAGATTGCTTTGTACGGACACGCTCAAGGTGGTCCAGGCGTTTGAGGCCAACCCACTTTGTGCCAAGT